TGACAGAGTTAGAAGATGGTCACAGGCCTGTCCAATGCTCATGATCTTTGCATAACTGCATTTTAAAAAAAGTTTAAGAATGTACACACAGCAAAACTCACCCTTTTGCTGTATTATTTTATCAGTTTTGACAAATGTGTAGATTTGAATCACTACCAACAGTTCCATTACTCCCAAGTGGGCTGTCAGGCTGTTCCTTTCTAGTCAAACTTTGCCCCTATTCTTACTGCCTGGAAACCATTGACTTGTTCTCAGTCCCTAGAGTTTTGCCTTTTCTAGAATGTCATATAGATAGAATCCCATATCGTGTTGATTCTGGCTTCTTTTCACTTAGCAGAATGCATTTGAAACTCATCTGTATTGTTTCATGTTATCAACATGCTTAGAGCAACTTCTCAACCAGACCCTCATAAAAAGAGAAGTATACCAAGAAACAGAATTCCGCCAAGATTTATATTCACCTGGAATCTTCAAATATGACCTTTGTAGATGTAACCAAGTTAAAATGAGGTCACAGTAGATTTGGTTGGGTCCCAACCCAATGACTGGTGTCTTCATAAAGAAATAAAAATCTGAACACAAAGACACACAGGGAGAATGCCAGGTGACAAAAAGAGCAGAGATTGGAGAGAGGCATTGCAAGCCAAGAACCACCAAGGTTGGCCTTCACCACATAAGTCAGGAGAGAGGCATGGAACAGGTTCTCCCTTGGAGTCTCCACAAGGTCCTTACCTTGCTGACACCTTGATTTCTGACTTCAGGCTGAGAGCTGTATCCCTGTTGTTGGAAGACACTCTATTTATGGTCCTTGGTTGTGGCAGCCCTAGGAAACTCGTACAAGGCCAAAAGATATTCAGTATTGTTCTTAAGCCAGCTTCCCCTAGAGCAAAGGCCTAGTTGAAGACACAGGACAGACAAAGACCAAGTGCCTTCAGTTTGCATTAGGATGAGCTTGACTATATTCCAGAGTCAAATAGGAGTTGAAAGATATTATCTTTCCCAGGTATCAAATTTATTACCAGCAACTAAAAAGTAAAACCTATTTTTAAAATATGATAAACAGTGTAGAAACCTAACCCTTGTTCCCCATCAACTAATTTAAAGTCAGCTCATTCAAAACTACTATGCTTTTATTCGGGGGGGGGGGGGGGGGAGGGGAAGGAAAGGTTGACATTGGGGAGGGGACACCTTTCATCTATCTTTTTATTAGCAACCTCCAGGAGATTATAGACTCAGGAAATTAAGTATTAAAATTTAATTAACTTCCCAAGTCACATGAAGAAAAACGTTTAAAAAAAAAGTAATGGAAATCCACATTCCTTTAGAGAAGAAATCTTCTGAAGTACATTTCAGTCTGTTGCTTGGATTTTAGATATAAACAAATTAGGGGATATTTTGAATAGATCAAAGTATATAGTATTTTAATACTTAAGATGTAGAACCAAAAAGTAAGAATTAATGAGCACATTAGTCATGAGAAAATAAACAGTTTAGGCAAGCCAGAAGAATAGATTTGTTTTGTCTTAAAATATATTTAAATTGTGTATATATGATGTTGATATTGTTGATTCAGTTAAAAATATAAATTAACTTGTAGTAATGAAAACCTGCAATTCTCAAACCTGGCTTCCTATCATAGGAATTGACAAATATTATCCATCTTAAGTATCAAATTATTACTGGTAACTAAAAAGTAAAACCTGTTTTTAAAATATGATAAAGAATATAGAAACATAATCCTTGCTTCCCATCGACTAATTTAAAGTCAGCTCATTCAAATAACTCCTGAACAACCTAAAATATGCAGATTCTGATTTAGTAAGTCTGGACTGGGGCCCACAGAATCTATTTCACTTTTCAAATTACCCAGGTTACTGTGATGGGCAACCATGTTGGAGACCTTTGGGTAAAGTGGATAAAGCTCTCACTGAAAGCAAGCTTTGATCTCCCAAAGACTGGAGAATTAGAGCTTGGGTCAATCCAAGGTCAAATACCAAAAGCAAAATATTAGAATAGAAGTAATCTAATACTTAGGGTCAAAAAATGGAGGCAGGGTCCAAAAACAAAAACCAGAATCCAGGGTGGAAACAAGCTTCATGACCCAGGAAGTGGGTCAAAATGCCAATGTGGAATCACATGAGAACATAGGAGAAGATTATAAAGCAAAACATAGGGAGCCCTGTGAGTTAGAAGTTGGGGTGCAGTCTGGCTCAGGACTCAGAGAAGGCTTTTCTTGTATCAAACTCCTGACTGTAGAGTCATGCATGCCTTTCTGCAAACTCCTCTATTAGAGTATCAGCTCATTCAGGGTTAAACCAGTCTTTTATTTTCCAGCATCTAGTCTAGTGGCTTGTTTTAATGTCTAACAGTAAACTGAGCGATAGTCACTGACATCTCCATAAATTGAAGTTATTTATATTTCAATATAATATTGCTGTGTGTGAGTGCATTCAAACTCACATGTGTGTCTTTGTGTCTGTGTGGATACTTTTTGCAGAACCCTTCGAACATTAAATTGTTGCTTAACAAGTTATAATTATTTCTTGATATTTGACTTATAAAGGAAACTTTCTAAAAATCAATTTTCAACACTAGGTAAATTAAAAGGACAGTTTTTTTTTCTTGGATAACATTAAGACATTTATTTCTTTATATATTTTTTCATTCATAAAAAGGACAAAGCACAGTCCTATACTACTCCATTGAAAAAAATGATAAAAAATAACTAAAAAAATCAATTCAATATTTATCAGTATCAAAGAAATCTACTATCACCTTTCCTGAAATACAAAGAAACAACAGATATACCTATATCTATATAAAGTTTAATTCAGAATCTTGCATCTTAAAGCAGGTGATATATTAGTTTGACAACAGTTTAAAACGGATGGTCCCAGTCAAATTGGTACAACTGTATGAGGAAATGAAAAGCATCAGTTATGAGTGTATGAGATATTAATCTGCCTAATCTCTGTCACAAATTTAAAATTAAACAAGTAACTTCCAAAGTCTGTTTTCTTCTACCTTTCAGAACCATTTCATGCAAAATCTAACCAGTTTTGCTCTTTATTACCATACATTAGAAAATAAAAGGCAAGCATGCATTTGGCAAAAGAATTAGTTGTTGATTATATAAAAATGCCCAACATGGGTCATACTGCAAAAGGAAAACCCCAAAATATAACAATGAAAACACAAACATTTGTACAGAAGGCTTAGAGATTATTCATTTTCCTAAAGTATGAAGATATGTTCTTTTTCAAATAATTAAATATTTTATGAAATTTGATAATGCTCTTAGGACTGTTGACATACTTCTGCTGGGAAATAACCTCTTTCGTTTATTTTTAAAAAGTTTCATTTTATAACAAAGAGTTAAATGTCAACTAATGAAGTGATATTTTTATAACAAAAGCTCTAAACATTTACATGTAGATATATAGTACAAAAATTATACAAATTAAAGAAAGGGGGATAAAATAGTAATAGATCTGTTTTGCTTCCTGTAAATATCTTTTTACGAACCTATAAGGTTTCATTTCTAAAAAGATAAACTCTATCTCTAATTAGCTCGCAAGGTTGTGCTAATAAAATAGGATTATACCTCTCCAAGCATCTGTCATTGCACTAATTCAGGAGCCAGCTAATCCTTATTACTTGATTTCTTTCACATCCATACTCAAACACATTTCGGGCACACCATGAAGAATGAAGAAATGTGTGTCTTCCTTTCACAACTTATAAGCACCAGCACTTGGGAGACGACATTGGATGAACACATTATTTGTCTCCTTCTGGCCTTTCAGTTTTGCATACCCTTCAAAGTACCATCAGCAACATACAGATTTGGTATTTTTAGCCAGTTTTCGGTATTGCCTTGAAGCAGGAATGAGTTTAAAACTAAATTTTAAAAAAATAAGGAATATTGTGGTTTTTCCAACCTATAGGTGATTTCTTGATCCTACACTTTCAGGAAAGACAGGTTTTTACTTAAAAATGCAGCACAAAAACCAAGGAACTAGAATATTAATACATAATTCTGATACTTACTTAACTGTCATTTATTCCTAGTGGTATAAAGACTATCACATCTTGATTAAAAAATGGAAGCCCTCTACTTTTCAACATTCATTATTCCACATATGAATAAATACAGCAATATGATAGTACTCTAAATAAGAGCTGTCATTTTTGAGGTTTCAAATTGATAATAAGAAAAGCATAACATAATTTCACAGTAGAATACAAAAGTAAAAAATAACCTTCATATGACATGGTAACTTTACTATTAAAAACTAATTTAAAAGAATTACCCATTCTAAAAATTAAATGTTTAGAAAATTACTTACTTTCAAAATAAGAATACTGATAATAAGTTCTAGAATTTGGTTTTCAATATTCCAAATCTTTCAACCCATTCAGTAAGATGATTTGGTAATGGGATTTAAGTCACAATGTTTCAGTTATACCCTATTCTTTTTAAGAAAACTGAAAATGTCATGAATGATAAGGGGCCATTTGAAAATATGCAGGACCCAAAACAGAGGGGATAGTACAAGAGACTGTATTACTCTTACATTTACCACATACAATCAACATTTCAACCTCTATTATATTTCACAACTTGTTATTGAATTTAAAGCACCTGTGTATGGTGATTTTACTTTCACTCTACAGCCTATGGAATTGAATTGAACACTGTAACTTGTCCCATTGGATTAAATCATGCAACTGTCACAGAATCAGGTTAAGTGGTTTATAAGGCATATTGGAACGAGTTAAAAATCGTTTTATATCCCATTTAAAAGCTTATTCTTTTGGATGAAGGGGTTCCTGAATGCCTCAGTCATAACATGTGTTGTAAATCAGTTGGATAGTTTGTTAAAGAATAATGTATTTGGCTTAAGATGGAGCCGCAGGAATTGGAAGAATCTGTAGTCATCGCAGGGATGAAGGATGTTCTCTGAGCTGGGTCAGGAACAGCAGCTGTCAGACCACATTCAGAATTCCAAGTGGATAAGGATGCCAAAGGCAGGCAGCAGTAAGCCAAGAAGACTTGGTAATAGGGTGGATGTACCTACAAAGAAAACCAAAAACATGTATAAAATTTTACTGATAACTATCATTATTCTTATCAATGCTTTGGGGAAAGTCAGAATACGTAGGCCTGAAAACCAAGTGGTTCTTACACACACACACACACACACACACACACACACACACGCACCCTGCTTCACTATTCTTAGGTCATTTAAGAAAAACAAAAATATTTGATGGAGGATTTTATATGAGAGCACATGCTCTGTTTATACATGTTCCTGTAAATCATTTAAGATAATAAGATCACAAATGTTTGTTTTCTTCATGATCTCACAGTCCCAAATTCCTACCAGAAGGTGCCAGATAAAAATCATATATAAATAAGTTAAAAAATCTATGATATGTTAAAAAATAAGATAAAGAGGTGATAGTAAAAATACTAATAAGGTTATCTGGGATAATGACATCATAGATATAACTAAATAGATATATAACTTCACATCCCAATGGTTTTAAGGCATTTTGATGCTTATACACCATGATTTCAAAAAATATTTTGAAACTTTTATATACTGATTGATTTTAGAGAGAGAAAGGGGGAGGAAGAGAAAGAGAAACATTGATTTATTGTTCCACTTATTTATGCATTCATTGGTTGATTCTTTTTTTAAAAATATATTTATTTTATTGATTTTTTTTACAGAGAGGAAGAGAGAGGAATAGAGAGTTAGAAACATCGATGAGAGAGAATCATTGACCAGCTGCATCTTGCACACCCCCTACTGGGGATGTGCCAGCAACCAAGGTACATGCCCTTGACCAGAATCGAACCCAGGACCTTTCAGTCCACAAACCGATGCTCTACCACTGAGCCAAACAGGTTTTGGCCATGGTTGATTCTTGTATGTGCCCTGACCAGAGATCAAGCTCACAATCTTGGAGTACAGGGGTGATGCTCTTAAAAACTGAACTACCTGTCCAGGACCAACAGAAAAATAATTTGAATAATTGTAAATTATCTATTCAAATTTAAGGAATAATTGCCCTGAGATGTTATATTGTAAATTAAAAATAAAAATGATATAACATGCTATGGATTTATATTACATACTAGTAGCCTGGTGTATAGATTTGTGCACATTGAAAGGAAATTAATTAGTAGAAATACTTTAATATCACTATTCACCCTTTTTCTATACTAGAAGTGTCAGAGATCAAAGAAAAGTAATAAAATGTATATGAAAACAACATATAAATTGATTAATAAATAATCAATAACATGTTATAAAGACAACAACCCTGGGAGGTTGGCCAGCCAGGGAGGAACTGTGGAAGGGCTCCAGGGCGTGTCCAGCCCACCTTGCCCAATCTCCATTGGCCAGACCCCAGCAGCAAGCCAACCTACTGGTCAGAGCATCTGCCCCTTGGTGGTCAGTGCACATCATAGCGACTAGTTGAACGGTTGAAACACTTAGCATATTAGGCTCTTATACATATAGATTAGGCTAATAATTATATCAGAAGGGCTTGTCTTGTAGTCAAGCAAGTTTAAAGATATAGGTCCTGCCCATACTGGAATTCTTGAGAAAGGGATGAAAAATGGGACCAAGAAGGCATAATATTCCTTTCCATTCTCTTCAGCCATGAGGCCCCATCATCAATGAACACACTGCTGGAATGAGTGACAGGCTAAAAAGTACCATCAACAGCTTGTAAATATGACAAATTTATGTGAAGTTTTGGAAGTTTACTTTAAAAATTAAATCATTATTATTTTACCATGTTAACAGTGGCCTAAAACACCCCTTTATTTGGCATATTCCTTTTATATTTAGGAAGATTTGGGGAATTTCTCTCGAATCTATGGTCATTAAAAGCACATGCATTCTTCTCATATGGTAGAAGATTTGTGTTGGTCTATCTGCATGCATGCATTTCACTATGGCCCTGTTAGTAGCATTCATGCTACAGGAAAACATCATCAAACTCAGTTGAAATAGTTCTTTAAAATAAACAAGACACTAAAGATCAAAAAGTGAGGGAAGAACTGGAAGGGCAATAGAAACAATTCTCAAATAGCTACTTGTAGCCTCATCAATGCTGAAAGAAAGCTATCAATAACAGTGATTATACTTATCACTAATAGTGACCATGAGAGCTCCTATTTAGCAGCCATAAGACAGATACTATCCTGACTCTTTATATACATTTTGACATTAGTGCCACAGCCTATAATAATAATGGTCATATTATTCTGGTTTTATAGATAATATAACATAGAATTTAGGTAAAATGACTTGTTCAAGGCCAAGGCCAGTAGAGTGGGTGGAGCCAAGATTAAATCTCAGATTAGCCTGGCTCCAAAGACCATACTCTGTACCTCTCTGCCACTTTCTGTAGACAGCTGTAAAAAGGGACCAGTTCTAGAGATTCATAAACACACTACACCCGGAACTTAATGTGTCAAGGCAAAGGCACAGAAAGAAAAGAAAAGACATAGGAGAAGGTACAACACCAAAGCATTTTGAAGAATCTTACTTTGTTGCAGTATTTTGTCCTCCATAGTTTTCTACATAGATATGTTTAAAATATGCCACAACCCACATGCTATTTTGTTCTGATAAGACGAAGAGTAATAAACTTCAATCATATTCAAAACTAAAAAGTCAGTAGTTTTCAATGTTTGACCTAATTTAAACGATCTGACCTGAAGACCTTTGTCTGGGAATGACTGCAGGGACTGGGCAGTGCTCCCTCCTTGCACCACAAATGACATCAGCAATGAGCACACGTTCTCATACTTGCCTGACTTTGTGGGTTGGCTCAGTACAAACTGTGGCCGCAGAAAGAAGTTTAGTCCATTGTGGATGCCATTTTGAAGTTCTGGTGTTAGTATGAAAACCAAATACAATTTCATAATTTGTGGCTTCAGCATCAGGATATTTGATTTATCCTAAATAAACTCTTCATGTTTATGTGTGTTATATTTAATTTCTCTAATGGCTCAAGGTTATGTAATTGTGGTCTTCATCTCCAATTCTCTTCCACATTCCAAATAAAAATTAGAGACCTGACTGATTCGCTATTTAAAGTCATTTCATATGTGGGATCCCTATATTCTTGAGGGATTTTCAATATATATTGGTTTTGAATCTAACAAAGTGTATATCACCACACTGCTATCAAACATAATCTCAGTATTTACTTGGTAGGTAGTAAATATGTATTTTCCTTTTCACATATGTACTGAATGTCAAACATATAAAAAGTCATCAATCTGGTGAATTGTTTTACCCTGTTAGAACGACGGGAAAGCCATTTTAGACTGTTATAGCTCTTTCACTGGATTTTCTTGATTTTTTAAAAAAAATTGAACCGCCCAGACTTATTCCCTTCAGGAAGGTACATATTCAGAAGAAAAATTCCAAGTAAAAGTTAAGCAATGTTTAACAATATCTTCATATTTTTTGATAAGAAGATAACTGTTCTAGTTAGTTTTTAATACAAATCTCTTTTCTGATGTTTAAATTTGTACACCATGATTCAATCCGAACTCCTTCTTCTTTGCTATTGCTGATGATTCCATAATACTTGGAATTTTATCCTTGTCATATCACTATGTTAACAATGGTTAAAATCTCTAGATTGTGAACAACTTCAGAACAGAGAATATATTATATCCAAATCATATTTTTAGCTGTGTGGACTAAGTTCAGTATGAAGTGAGTACTTTGCTTTTAGTAACAGGAGCACAATTGAAGAGATAACTGATGTTGTACCACTTTGGGGCAACTAGAGAAGTTATCTGAGCAAGTGGGTCTTTCATGTTTTATACTTTCATCTCTTCTCTCTTTGCAGATTGCTTCATACCCTTGGACTAATTTTTCAAGATACACAAGAGCACCAAGCTCACAACAATATGTTCTCAAGATAAAAGAGATGACATATTTTAACCCCAACTCCAGTAAGAAAACTTTCAAGGAAAGATTCTGATTTGCAAAGTATGGGTCACAACACAACCCCAGACCAATTGCCATGGCTGACTTAATGAATTTCTATGACTGAACTGGCTTGGAACAATCTCCCATCCCTCAACCAATTCCTGTGGCCAAGGAGGCAGGGTCACAAGATGTCAATTTTTATTCTGATCACAGGTACGTCCTACAATACTTTGCACAGTGAAAGGGCTGTGTGGTTCCAGGAGAAAAAGAGGGATTCTGGGAAAGAGAGACTACATTTCAACAAGAAAGTGTAAATACATACAGAGAGTCACCAAAAGCAACAGCACAATTCCTATCTCCCAAAATGTTGACCGTGTAAGATTTTTGTCAAGTAGCATGTCACAAGAATACCATTCTGTCCGCAACTTTGGAAAATGTGCTTTGTGGTAATTAAGAAAAGTGTTTCATGCAATTATTCACCTGCATTATTCATAACCTCTCCAACTGACTTCCCCCAATTGCTTAAAGTTAAGAAAAGCAATTGATCTATTTAGCTAGTGAAAACTTAAAGAATATTTATATAAATTACTCAGAGTACAGGAGGCATTTTTATGAGTAATCCTTGAGAGCTGTTCATGATAGGTGCAGCATTAGAATGTGTAAGACTAGAAACTAACTTATTTTTTTTTTGGCTGAGTACATAAATCTGTATAGTTATATTTATTTTAAGATTTGGAATTTAAACAGTGATAATTACTACATTAAGGGAAATATACTAAGAAATTTAATAAACTACAGTAACTGGGACTATGTAACATCCATGTTTCTGAACTTATTTATTTGTAGAGGAAGGCCTATTAGGAGATTGTCATTTTACACATTTATTCAACCATAAGAATTTAGTTTAGAAAAAAAAATGGTAGCGGTTAAGAACTTTGTTTTTTGATTTGGCCCAACCTGTTGGAAATGCTGAGTCACTTTTTTACCCTTGTATATTCAGCAAATTATTTATGTCTGTTTTTCCATTTGATTGTTGAAGGTGAGGTGAGACATGGTACTTATTTTCTTAAATTTATGACAGACATGCATGAAAGGA